AAGCTAGTCCCGCCTGCCGCCTTTGAGGTAGAAGTACTTAAAAAAACAATTTTAAATATATATTTATGCTTATATATCTAGGCATAATGCATATCGTATAGGCATTTGTTCTACTTTACATATCGTGCAGTGCAAACATTTATTTTTAAGTTTTATTAAATGAGCTCAGTGAATTTAAATAATTCCTGAATTTTATTGCGTACCATTTACACTATGTCACGAACCTCCGATGGTGTGAGAATCTCCTATTGTCCACCGCTGTTTTAGACTGTTTCAGTACAAGAATATTTTAAAATGATGCTGTATCATTTTGTTTGATACAAGAGCTTGATAATGCAATGAACGAAATTGAGTTACAAGAATTTCCAAAATCTGATATTAATATTATTCTTCACGCTATTTAAAACCTCTCGAATGGCTGCTAGTAGTGTTTAATAAGGTGTTGTGCTTCTAATATGTGATTACGTTCTGAAATATTGAAATATTGTCATAAACTAAGATCATTTAAACAAGTGTCTGCAATGAACTTCACTTTTTTATTACTTGGTGGAAGAGTAAAAGCTATGTAATGTCGCCAAAAATAGATCCGGGGATTTTGACGTCGAAATTCACGTTTCGTAGGCCCCTGAAACCGAAATAATATTTTATTGCTTTTTTTTTAACTTCAGCCTATCCATCTGTCCATTCGTGTGTTAACAACACTTGCGCCTACATGGTGCGCTCAATTATCTCCTAAGTGAATATTCTGTGATATAATTGCATTGAAGCTCTCTGAATTACTAATTTAATTAATTTAACATTTTCAAAATGTACTCAGAAATCGATTCAAATTATTTTATTAATTTTATTGTTCGTGTGAAGCTAAATTCCCCCATAAGTATAAATTACTATATTACTAAAACTTCGGAATCAAGAACCTCGCAATTATCTAAAATTACAATAGTTCAATAATAGTTCTTTTTTTGGAGTATCTTCTATACCTTGTTTATTAAAATGAAGTATACGGTTTTATTGCGATTGTTTTTTTTCGTATTAGTTCATTAAACATGTCTCCATGGAAACCAATTTATTTGAATAGCTTTCCGGCCCTTGTCCCCTCCCAGCATCACCTTCGGACGCTCTTATCGTGTTTTTTGCCTCGCTTTGCTGCCCTCAAAGATAATCCGCAACACATTGATGCATTATGTATTGCATTTAATCTCATTTTTCAAAACCATTTTTGAAATTTAGATATGAAAGTATTATGTTTAACTATCCCAGAAAATATGTGTTTATAAAAAGACAATTAATTTAAAGATGGGCCAATTTAACGAAAATTTGATCCTTTGTGCCAGAATTTAAGACTGTTTTTCTATGCAGAGTATAAGGCAATATATGAATCACGGTTTTCAATATTTCCTAAATATTTGTTTTCTAGACGACATAGTTCTGTTTTGTTTTTAATTTTCCGAAAAATGCTCGCATTGTTAAAGTTAATCGTTTGTATCTCGTGTTGTAATTGTCAGAGTAATTTAATATTTTGCGAAATTAAGAACATTAACACTTTTATATTATGTATGTATTGAATTTTTTAATTTTTTTAAAAATTGTTATTTAAAAATTTGAGAAAAAAGTATTGTATTTTCTGAAATGTGTTATATACGTTTTATAAGTCTCAAAGTGAGACTGAAAGATTTCTGAGAAATTAAAAACAGCAAAAATTTCTTGTGGTTTTGCTGTAGTCTGCCCGAGAATGCAATTTTTTCTGAATGAAAAGGTAGATTTCTGGAAAATGTTTAAACATTCGTGTAAGCAAAATTTCCCCAAAAAACAATTGGTAATATTTCTGAAAGGAATGGAATTAGAAAAAAAATTAAAAATGCATGACTCCTATTTTCAATCTTAGACCTCATAATAAGTGTTTCAAGTCTCAAAAAGATAGTGATGCTTCATGAGTTTGTGATTTAGCGTGAAATTATCCAAAATTTTCTAAAATTTCATGAAAATTGGAATATTGATTAAACGTTTCTGCGGGATATACCACAGTCATATGTTAATTTTTGTAAGCTGTTCAAAATCACTCTAAAGTCCACCCAAACCTTACAATTTGCCTTTTTGCCAACCTTGCCACATTCAGAAATGCTCAAGCGACATTTCCTCAAAGAGAGCTCCAATTTTTTCTACAAAATATGCATATATGATCAGATTTGTATTCTTCTATAACATTCCCTAAGTCATACTCATATATTCATAAAGTGTACTTTAGGCCCCAATAGACAGGAACAGAGAGAAGAGTAGGGCAAAACCAAAAAGCTAGCCCAGACTAACAAGATTAGAAAACTAAATAGCACGACATAGTTTTTGCCAGTCTGTAGCACCACTTGTTTCATCAGTTCACCACTAGTTTCTTAGTCCAGTTTAGTACAAAACATCCTGCAACTCAAGAGAAATTGTCGCTTCAGAATAATTTATTATTAATTTCATTCTAAGGGTACCACTGAAAAAAAATGAGCAATAAAAACTGTTGGGAAATTTATTGATTTAAGCATGTTAATGTTGACAGTATATTCTTGAGTTATTGGTACAGCTTTCCGTTTCATTTTCTCATTGCATTGTGCCTCTGTGAATATGTTTGTAAAGTCTCAATAGTAAGGTTTCTACTTCATTTTCTTAGTTCATTATGTTCATTTGCCGTAGTTTTGATCTCTTAAGTGTATAATGACAATTCTTCAAGGAAATTAATATTCATTCTGATTATTATAAACATAAATAAAACATATTTATTTATAACATTAAAAATGGATACACTTGCATAAAATAAAATAATGATAACAATGAAAAATAACAATATAAAATACTACTATAAGTAAGCACAGTGATATTATAAATAAAAGAAAAATTCTAACAAAGGAACACATGAGTATATCTTGGTACTGGAAAATGTAGATACAGGCTTCGGCTGTACTGACTTATGATCAGAAAATATCATTTACTCTTTAATGTTTCAATTACCCTGTTTTATAATAAACAAACTAATACTTTCTTACATATTCACATAATATCAAGTAAATTGAGACATATATGATTCCAAGTGGCTTGTTGCATTGAGTTATAAATGAAATTAAACATTTCCTTAAATATAATAATTAAAAGGCTATTTTTCAAAACATAAATTAGGTACTACTTTGAATAGTATAAAGTTGATTGTTTGAATCTCAATAAAGGTTTGGTAATATAAATGATAAAAATTTGGAAATTGTAGCATAGTGCAGTAAAGTTCATCAAAGGTCATTACAAATTAAATAAAGAGCCATTCATCTTTATACAATGAGAGTAACATTTTAAAACTTGTGTACTATTAAATTTTTCACAAGAAAGCAAAATGCCAGTAATTAAAATCATTGTTCTCTAAGCACTAAATACTACAATTCAAGCTCATCAAAAACATTTTCAACTCTCACTGAAATAAATTTACGAGAAAACAATAGTTATACTTAATGATTTTAAAGAAATATTATTTTGTTGTAACCGTACATAAAGTGTACTTCTTGTGACAGTTTTCCAAAATTTAATGGAAAGTATATAACATCTATTTTTCATAATATATTTTTTATCGTTAATAAGTTCTCAACAATTCATTTTTGGCATTATTGAATTCAAAAAATTGTAAATATATCAATATATTTTTGGTCATTTTTCTCTCAATACTTCAAATGTAAGAAGTTACAAGAATTCTACATTAAAGCATTTAATAATTTCAGCCGATTTTGGTGTTTAGAAGTAAGAACTTTCAAATATTAAAAGTTCAATTATCATTTAATTTTTATCTCTCAGAACTTACTTATTTTTCAATAACGTTACTATATTTATTCAGTTTCATTACATTCATTAGATTAAGAAATAATAGCAGTCACACAGCTGAATATTAAAAATATTTATGTAAGATTCAATATGAATTTCAGGAACATGTGTGATTTCAAAATATCCTTTTTATTTATTTTCACTCAAATGCCCTAATGAAACAGACTTTGCAATCATTAGTAGGAACACTTTTATAAACCATAATTAAAACTGAATATTTCTAGCAGTTTTTAAAGTCATGTGGAATGGATTAAGTAAATAAACAACCTTATGGTCATTAAGATCAAATTCCTCAGTCTTGCTCAAACAAATTATATTATATTAGTGAAATCTTTCCTCCACAATGAAAACAAGCCAAGAGATCAATACTCTGGCAAACTCTTGTGCCAGTCTCTGGTGAAGAAAATATGTTTTCAAAACCTGTGCATCATGCACGCATCTTGAAAGTTGAGTAATCCAAGACAACCACAACAAAACAGCCTTTCAAATGAGAACTTACAGTCAACCTGGAAATAGGATGATATATTGTTGTGTTATTGGCACTGTACCCCAATTCAAACAGAGTAGCACTTAAAGGTCATGAGCTGACGGATACGAGGACACTGTCATCCAATAGGGAACTTCGTTATGACTTAAAATTTTAGTGTTGTAGCTCCCAATTAGTTAATAATTTCTCCCTATCCATCTATATTGTGATATTCAAGCAGGAGCGAATCCATCCGATTATTTTGGATGGGGACATCAACCATGGATTTTTGTTCAAATAATAAACATTATTAATATTATATATTATTTTGGGCGTTACATATGATAATATATAATATATCTTAAATAATTACATAATTCTAGGCATAAGTAAATATTTAAGTTAATTTTGTCAAATAAAGAAAGTAACAAACGAAGAACTCAAGTCTTGGGGGGGGCATGACCCCCCCCCCCCCGGATTCCACCACTACCTTTCAAGTGCCTCTTTGTCCAAACGGAGTATAACCAACAAGAGGCCAAGCGCCCATTTCATCCCGCAGAACGCGCCGCGGGACGTTTCAAATCGCGCGCCTCAGCCTCCATATCAATCCATCGATATAATCCATCGATTCGAGCGCCGACCACACTCAGAGGCAGAAGCGACGTATATCGATCGCCGCCGAAAAGCGAAAAGACTAGCAACGGAGCGGATGCGGGTGCTGGGTGGGTGAGTGGCGTGGCCTAGGGCGCGACGAGGATGTCGTCGGGGCCTGAGGGCGATGAGGCGGGCGGGTGGCGGCCGGCACGGGCGGCGGCGCGGCGCGCGCAGGCGGCCGCGCGCGCAACCACTCGCGCAGCAGCGCCAGCGCGCAGCACGCGGCCACCGCCGGCAGCCCGTACATGAGCACCAGCTGCAGCGCGCGTACGCTGAACGTCACGTGGTACATGGCGAAGCGCAGCTCGCCGGCAGCTCGTCCAGCACCTGACACACACACATACAATAATAATAATAATAATAATAAAATATATTAATAAGAAGAGCAGAAGCAAGAAAAAGAGAAGAGAATGATCATCAGTAATAATGATGTAACAATAATAATAACAATAAATACATGATAATATATAATCAATAATAATAATAATAATAATAATGAATAATAGATAATAAACTAATACATAATAATAATAATAAAATATAATATTTTTACGACAGAAAAGTACACATATGTACTAAACGAAAAATCGAAAGCCATCTCCCAAAATATTGTTTTATGATATTCATTAATTCATGGATTTCTTTAAGACTGATGAAATGAAAGATATTTACGAAATCTCGTGCACTACAATCACGATTAATTGTGAACATGTGGGAGTTAATCATGTTTCCGAAAATGTAATTGAATGTTTTACATTTACGAAGACCTGGTAATGTTTAATGTCAATGCCTATTGCAAGAAATTCTGCTAACCACTTTAACTTAAAAATGTAATGCATATCGTTTAATGTTAATCATTGAAATGTTTTTGTTGAGTAACACATGTTTGCTGAACATTTACGTCTAATATTTGAATTTTAAAACAATAATCTTCGAACTTAAAAAATTCGCTATCATTGCTTCCCTAACCTCTTGTACGCTTGTAGCGCTCAAGATCTTCTTGTTGCAACTCACATAGGCAAAAGACTTAATAAATAAATAACGACAAACGTTCATTATTAAGATATTTTTAATATTTAATTTGTATACTATGAAATCGGTTAATAATAGCAAGCGATAACACACCTAGGGTGTACTGCCTTTCATTGAAAACAAAAACACGAAATTTAGTTCAGCAAAAGGATCAAATTTCCTTCTGAACGAAACCCCTTTGTGTTATCTAAGATAAGAATTACATTGTAATTTATATTTGACTACTATAATTTGTATACTCTACTACCAAACTATATTCACCAACCTTCTTGAAAATGCTTGGAAAATGTAATAAACTGCTCAATATGATGTTTTTCTAACAATAATAGTGGATATTTCAATAAAGCAGCAATCAAGTTTCCATTGGACACAATTAGTCTAAAGTTGTCTCTTAAACACAATGTTGTCATTTCGGGACGATGATTGCTAGCAAGAGTTTATTTATTTCGCATAATTTGATGTGAATTTAAGATCTAGTATTGAAATATATCTCTACCTTCAATAATGAAAGTGTATGACAGGTTCGAAAATAATGTAAACGACTGAAATTTTCAAACTTCAGTGGTTTGAATGAAAATCAGACTTTAAACATTTTTATCAGCCCACTATCCCGAAATCGAGCAAAAAGTAAAAAAAATGATTTTTTGAGAAAATTCTGAAAATGCCCTCGTCATGTGTCGTCCAAAATCAAAAGATCCGTTTCAAATTTGCTGGGACTCGAGTGGACCTATTGATCGGAGAAAACTCTATAAATGATTTAGGCTTTAATTAATTAAGTATGCAAAATTACCTACTAGTTTGTCGATGAATCACTTTTTTTTCAAGAAATTTTAAAACATTTTTATGCATAACATTTATTATTCACTGCCAAGTTAATCCGTATAGTTTCGAATTAAAGTTTAGAAGCTGTTATGTTGTTATTCTTTCTGGATTTTTTCCTTCTCGAAAGGTTATCTAAATGAGACACAGATGCCTACGCTTAAATCTGTTTTAATTTCATAATGGACCCCCCCAAAAATGATTTTAGCTAACATGTATTTAATGGTATGAAATTGACGTGGGTGAAGTATGGTAAAATCAGAAAAGAAATCGCATCACCTTGTCTCTCTTATTGCACCACAGAAGTTGAATAAGTTTTCTCTCTCTCCGACGCTACTGCAAGAGACAACTGATAAGCTTCGATGATACCCTGAAATGGTATTTCCTATGTCTCTAGTTTATCTCGCTTGTTATATTACTGAAATTACTGCAAAGAAACTGCAATTCAGGTGGATTTCATGGAATTTTAAATACTCCATAAACTTCAAGGTTTTCCAAGAGTTTCTTATCAGTATCTCACAACTTCAGTTCTGTCAAAGCTCTCCGCATGGAAAGATATGTTTTCACAAAATACTGATACAAAAAATTTAAAATCTTAAAATGTACACAATGCATTCCTCCTAATATACGAACAAAATTCAACTTCTAAAATCGTAAGTGGGAAATAAAGCTAAATACTCATGTAAACCTTCAGAAACTAAACGTATTTTGTAAACTAGCATATTTCATTGTTTCTGGGACACAAGACATTATTTCTGTATTAAACAACATAACATTAACAATAATATTGAAAGTCTTGTGTAAAGTTGAATAAAGCAATCTCACTCTACTTACCACATTCACCCATGAAATTGGTAGAATGTCTCTGTCGTTAAAAGCGTCGAGATGATCGACGCCATTTGCTTTCATCACCATCACATTCACCTGGAATGCCGACTTCCCTGACAGTGGAACACCCAGTTCCTGCACAAAACAAATCAACTTGATTAATTTATACATATAGTATTTGTTGAGACGTAATGTGAATTGTAAGGATACATTATCTTGTGCATGGAAGCTGAAATGTTAGGAAACATAGTACACTCATGTAAATAAAACTCAAATAATGAAGCAATTGATGTTTTTCCCTCGATGTTTTACTCCGCGAAAATACACTTCATTGTAATTATAAAATTGAGTGAACGAAATGAATGAAAATATGAAATGAAACTAATAAACTGAACACTTTAAGCCACTTGTGGTAATCTGATTTTCTTTATGATATTTGTAAATAAATAAAAAATAAATACTGTTTATTTTTCAATTTTCTTGGGATATATTCTAACCTGCAAAGTTTATTTAACTTAAAACAGCTATTTCGAAAATATTTTGGTTACATTACTTCTGGTACAAAGAAGATTGGTGTGATGTTTACAATCTGATCTCAACATATTAATGTAATGTGGCAACATATTAATGTAATTTATTTATTTGATAAAAATTGTTTCATTATTTGGTTTTCAAAAAAATAACAAAAAGATTTTTATTAAATTTTATTGTAAATATTTTTTTATTGAATTCTTCAAATTCCGCCGTAAAAGATCCATGATCTCACCATTCATAATTAGAGCTGTCTGTAACTACCCCAGACGAATACATCGTTTGTTTAATATTAGACTTACGTTAGTTTGAAAAGTATTCAAAGGAAATCAGTGCTTATGAAAATGTGCTTGAAGCGGTTACATAAACTGCACTGACACTTTTTGTTATTTGATGCAGTAATAATTAATTTATAAACGAGTATTTGCACCAAATATTTTTTAATGTTTGTGAAACAAACATCCGCAATTTCTTTGAATTACTATAAAAAGAACATATTTGCATTTCTCGGTGGCAGAACGACTTCCAACGTAAGTGTGTTTAAACTCCGCAAGGTGGAGTCTGTCTGCGTTTGATCATTCGGCGATTGAAAACATTGGGCGATTGATTACATGATATCAAATAAAAAGTTGATCAGAGTAATGTTAGGAAATATATTTGTATTTAAAAGTTAAGCCTGTATTTTCAAGGTATGGAGAATGCGGGGAGATTAACAGAAGGAATACACCGTATTTGATAGGTTGCTACTTACCGAATGGAGGTCGAGGTACATTTCGTGCCTTTTTGGATCAGGTTTCAGACCTTCTACTGTTTCCAGAAGCACTGGGTCGCCAAGATAAAAGTGAGGAAAGGAAACGAAAATTGGCGCATCTGCAAAATACAATTTTAAAAACATTAGATAAATTGATGTGAAACTGCAACTCGAATGCGACAGTAAGAATATATTTTTTCAAACCGTTCACGAGCTGCAATACTGGCCCAACTTAAAATGTACACATTTGTATTATGATCATTTTTGTAACATTTTGTAATTATCATACACCTTTCAAGCTTTTTAGTAATGCTTTATTTTTAATTAAGGATGGTACCTGTATTTTATCGCATACGAAAACCAAATACTTTTTTCTCAAAACTTCATTTTACATGTTGTGCCAGAATTGGAGCGTATGATCAGTGTTCGATAAACGTGTTTGAACAAAATCGTTTAAATCGACTTTTCTCTGTAAATAAAACATCGATATTAAAGAGTTTAAACAAATCATGCTAAATTAAAGGGTTTTCCGTCAATTTTCCCCAAATTTGCTACCTTTATTGATTATGCCATACAACTTTGTACACCGTACAGTAAACACGTTATTGTAATTCGTAACGTTACATCACGCAGCCGGCATCTTGTTTTGGTAAAGTGAATACAACGATGGCGCGACGCGACAGGGGGGGAACTTCACGGCGCAGGCGCCGACGCTGATAAGGGACTTCCCCTCGCGATTCAACCGTTGTACCTGGCGGCGACGCAGTGATGTTTGATCTGCGTGACGCTGCGCGAGTAAGTGGATTGCGTGAAGAGTGCGTGCGCCGTGAACGTTGGTTTTCATCAGCAGAAGGTGGGTTCTCAGATTTGTTCCTTACCGCTCTTAATAGGAATCAGAACAAGTAAATTTCAATTAATAAGCACTCAATAAGTTGTTTTGTAGTAAATATAGCTGCCATATTAACTTCTAAAAATATCTACATTCATATGAATAAACGTAAAATACATTAAATCAAATTTAATCTGCAACATTCACATACAATTATTTTATGGAAACGTCCTAACAACGTTTGAAAATCTGTCAAACCAATGTAACAAAACTAAATATTGGGGTGATCGGGGTCCTTCTACAGATCCTTCAACAAAAGGGAAACTGGAGCAAGAGTAATTTTTATAATCCATCGTCTGCGTTTGCGTCGCTTTTGTGGTTATTCTTCGAGGCCAGGTAACGAAAGGGTGATGGATGTATCGATCAGAGAATGCTCTGAATATACGACCCTTTAATGTTTCAAAGACGCGTCCTCCAATAGCAGAGATGGGCTGGAAATTGATTTTACTGCTCTTGTCGCTAAGCGCGTGCACATCCTGCAAGGAAACTTCTATTCCCAGCAATTTCTAGGAAGACTAATTTTCAAGCAAAAATGTTATTTTGACACCTAGCTCAAATTAATTTATTACATTCTCTTTAGTCATATAAATATTAATGTACAAATATATAATACATTAATCGTAAATGATTTCTAATTTTATTATAATCTGCATGTAATAAACAATTCAAAGGGAAACCAAAGGGGTTTCAAGAATTTTCAAACGCATTATATAAACACTACAGGAAAACCAAACCTCACACCTCCTTGCTGTACGTGCACACTCGTCCATATATCACCGAGGTACGCAAGCATATTCAGTTCACTTATAACTTCTTTCGGAGTCAAACTACTCTTCCTCTAAGATAGTCATTTAATTGATCTTCGTATTTACATTAGGGAAATAAATTGACACCAAGTCAAGCTGCAGAAATTCCAATGTCAATTTGAATCCATTTTTTACTTTTTGAAACGCCATTCAGGTTGCCGTTTAATATAACATTTCTATTAAAATATCTTCTGAAAATATTACGTAAAGCGAGAAATGTTCCCAAGACAATAAAATTAGTCGTTGGTAGCCACTTAATTAAGTAGCTTAACGAAAGAAATACTTAGATGTTCAAAAAGATGAGATGAAACTCAAATAGAAGATATGTCTGATCAAATTTAAATGATTTATTTTTTCTCTTAAAATTGTGTTGGCTTTTCTATTGATTATGCCAACCGTGTTTGTGAGCGGGTGTCACATCACCAGATACCATTACACGAAAAACGTTAGGAGCAATTAAAAAAATACGTTTGCAAAATTTATTTTTTAAACTTTCCTCATTGTTAATAACTTCTAATTAACTAAGATGAACAAAAAATGGGTTAAATTTCATTTAGAATTCGAAATAATTTTTCGAATTAATCACAAGACACATTTTCGATAAAATTTAACATTTTTTTCTATTTCTAGTTAATAACGAAATAATTATTATAAGAAATGTAAAAACGTTAATTTTTTATCGGCACCCTCCTGCACCTCTCGTTGGTTTTTGGTACAGTTCTGACCCCAAAATCCAACCCACTTATCTCTTTAATAGTTTAAGTTTTTTTAATAACTACTAAAATTATTAAAGTTTTTAATTTCGCCACGATATTGGAGAAAAGTGGCAACAAGAGAAAACTTACAGTAAGCGTATGCACAAGCCACAAAAACATTTTGAAAGTATTGGTCGATTTTACTGAACCCAAAGTTGAGTCTACCCTACATGAATTATTCTGATAAAAGAATTCGCTTACTAATTAGAATGAAGGACGTACTGTTGCTTGAAATATTATTAAGGTTATAAATATAGAAACCATAAAACGCCTCCGCCATCTGCTATCTGTTGACCGCCATCTGTTGACCAGCCATCTGTTTGCAAAGTTACTCCGAGGGCAGGGCTGAGAGAACGCTCCTCGGAGAACTCGCAGTATTGCAGGCAAGAAAAACACCTGCCGCCTTCTTTTCCTTGCCAATAATGTGTTAACGAAGATCCACTGACCTGGTGAGATTTGTTCTTTTTCTATTGTCTCGTCACACCACTGCGATGAAAAAACAGATACCCCACAAAACATACCGCAACTTTACGCTCCGCGTGGGTGGACTAGATCCGATTTCCCTTGTTTAAAGAACGTGGTTTGTCCCTTCTGCCAGTAATTTGTGCGAGCGTGGTCGGGATTGAATGGTTTACATAGGCGAGTCCTCGTTACATAGAAACTTCTGAACAAATGAAGGCGCTAACGATACCGTAAGCGAGGAGACTCTGTTAAAGTTCAGCTAATGAACTCCCGACTCGTTTAGCGAGATCATGTGGTGGACTCATGCGGTAGGAAAGGCACTAATAGTTTTCGTATGACCTAGAACCGTTTATTAAGGTTTATTCTCAGCAAGGCCATTTATACTGCGCATCAGCGAAAAATTCTTTGTTCTCTGACGCGGTGTCAAATAACTGTAATATTATTGCGCCTTGCCATGCTTAAAATAGTAATTTTCTTTTTCTAACTGGCTCGATTGCGTTACGAATTTCGATGAAGCTTGTGAGCAGCTACGCTTTGTTGCGGAATTTAGAAATATAGGATTCTTTATTCTTTAGTTATTTTTACGCCTACTTGACATTAACGTATATACAACCAAAAGGTTTTCGTTTAGATAGCAACTTATTTATTTATTTGCATCCAAACAGGCAATTGCCCAATATTACAGGTTTATACAATATTTATAATTTTATACAATTTGAGCTTTGTATTCAATAAAATATCGCGATTTTTGCTTTCAAGGTTGTAGGCCCAACATGTATTATCACTTGCTAATATCAACCAGTTGTATATAGTATAACACTAAATGTTCATAATATCGTAAAATTAATATAATGAATGCTTATCTGCCATCATTTGTACATTATTTCATTTCGTTATGTCAAAACCTTCTTCAAGAAGGACTTTTTGTAGCCCGAGCAAGAGTATGAGGTCGTGGTAAGTGAAGGAAAAATAAGGATTTTCTTTTAAGTTTGAAGATTGTTTTTTTTAATGCTAAGGTAAGTTATTGTATATAAACGTAACGCCCAGCAAATTTTTGAAACAATTTTTTTCACCGCCTCTCTGAGAAGATAACACAAAATTTATTTAAAATCAACGTCTGCACTAAAACGCGAAGACTATCAAGAAGAAATATGATCTGAAATTTGCAACTGTAGATTTTTTCTTTATTTTATCTAGGTTTTACTTTCTTGCTACCGCTTACTCAGTAGAGAGAAAGTTACGTAATGCTGCACGGAAAAATGGCGAATTTCGGCCGAAAAAGTCTTATTACAGGGCCCTGGTAATAATATAGTGGATCAAATCAGTCGCTAAATTTAGAAATATAAAAAATTCTTTAACACGTGGTGTATCCAGAATCCATGTTTTGTATGTCTTTAATACCGAAAATTCGAATGACGGCAAAACGTCCGTCCGTCAGTCAACATGGCCTAAACCGTTCAGCCATTTTCTCCGAAAATGATATTTCCCAGTCGATCTGGCTGATGCCACGGCCCCCGAATTCGAAAGCGATATCTTCATTTTGGGCATACTTTATATGAAGCCTCTGGCACGATTTCAAAATTAAAAAAATAAATGGCTCCAAGTTTTTGATTTTTTGTTGTATAGTGTGAAGGACGTTTGAGAATTGTGCAGGTCTCATGTCTGTTGAAAAACCTATTTGTTTTCGAAAATTGCAAAAGTTCAAATTTGTTTTCGCGTCTTTTCGCAACTAAAATATTAAAGATAGAAATTTCACCCTGAATGAAATCTGTTCCTTAAAGGTAGATTTTTAAATAAGGTCATGTACAATTTTTCGAAAATTTGAGTACTTTGTCGCGTACTTGTGCGTGAAAGTGCGGGTGAGAAAGTACGAGCTTTTTTAGCACCACTAGTTTCATGGCAGGTTCCATCCGAGCGATGCGCATGTTTTGAGGGCCATAGCTAACAGGATGCGGCGCGCGGAAGGGATGCGGTATCGATATCGATGTCAATATTTTCAAAACATCGATATTTTTATGGCGTTAGCATCGCCGTTATGAGCATCGGCACACAAAGCCGACCATTTTTTACTTCAATGTTCTGTGCTCGATGTATGAATGAACAATTGCCGTAATCACAATTTCCTAAAAGTTAAAATATGAAATATAAATGATGGAACCACTGCCAGTTTATGTGATCGAGCCAAACGAACGTTACCTTTATCGAGCAGGCTATCTGGAGGACTGGTCTCCTAGCAGTGTGGTAGTGGAGTGCTTGTTAGTGTAAGTGTTTATACAAGGGGGTGAGGATAGGACAAGGAAGAGGCAGGAAAGATGGAGCGTGGCCCGTGGCCCCTTTGTTAGGGTACTGCTCCGGCATTTGCCTTGTATTGATCGGAGAAACCACAGAAAACTACCGATTAGCCGATTACCGAGCAGCCGGCAGCTAGAATTCTCCTCCTGAAAACGACTGAATTCGGCCCAGCTATCTAACTCGTGTCGAAAATCCTGACACAAGAATTCTCCCCCAGATAGCGACTGAATTCGGTCCAACTATCTAACTAGTGTCGAAAATCCTGCCACTAGAATTCTCCTCCAGACAGCGACTGAATTCGGCCCAGCTAGTGTCGAAATTCCTGCCACCACGGTGCACCGTCGGGAACCGAACCCTAGGACCTCCCAGTCAAAGGCGCCGCAGTGACATCAATTGACCTAAACCGGTTAGCGTGGCTGGTTTGTTGTGGACGTTTCACGAGCACTTACCGAAGACGCAGGGCGACACGTTGAAGACGCCGGAGGGCGGGCAGACGGCGTGCGCCGGGTCGCAAAAGCACGCGTTGTCCGGGTTCTCGTCCGGGTGCGCGAAGACGTCGCGCGGCGGCTGGAAGCGCAGCGTCGGGATGCCGTCCCACACCTGCGCCACACCCGTGCCTCGTCACACACACGCACACGTACACACACATTGCGCGCCACTCCAAGCCACGCCACGCCACGCGCCGCTCGGCGCTCGGACCAGCCACACAGGCGCCTCGTCACACACATACTGCGCACCACGCCACGCGCCGCACGGCGCTCAGCCCAGGCCACCTTTGTGCCTCGTTTTACACACACACACACACACACACACATACATTCTGTCTCCCTCTCTCTCTCTCTCTCTCTCTCACACACACACAGCACACACAACACACACCACACACACACATATGCGCGCACGCGCTCGCCTCGCCACGACCGTGCCATGCCACGCGCCCGCTCGTCGCTCGGACCAGCCACACACGCGCCTCGACACACACACGCACAAACAACACACACCACACACACACACAACACCACCATACACACACTCAGACACACCCATTTTCTCTCTCTCACTCTCTCTCACACACACACACCACACGCGCACACACACTGCACACTGCACACCACGCCAACGCCACGCTACGCGCCCGCCAGCATTCAACTCAGCGCAAACCAGGCGTCGGCCGGGGACAGGGTTGCAGATAAGAAGGCGTTTGGAGGGGAGGACGAAAGACTTTTGAGGAGGCTGGAAGGGCCGTAGCCAGGACCCAAAGTGCCATCGCAGAAGTCGGGCTGGTGCCTGGGAGACACGAGCTGATCGAGCCACCCGGTTTTTTAATATTTATTTTCTTGTTGAGTAATACGTAGACAAGTAAAACGTACTATGCATATGTTTTATCCGGTTGGTTACTATTAACTTACATACTGTGCTTAAGTCTAATTCAAGGCTGAGGAAGCCAAACAGGCACCGCTACAACGTGACACTTTCGGCGATTACTTTAAGAAAAACGTGGAAGGAAAATTTGTTTTCAATTCGGGCTGATGCTCAAGATTTCGGCCGAAGTTGAGTGTATTTAATAAGGGGCCTTTTGGTTTGCAGAAATAGAGTTGTAGGCAAGGTAATTGATATGGTTGGCTATGGGTTCGATAGATAGTTGTCTTTGGATTTGGTCATTGGTAATAAATCAATGGGCGCTGGTGATCTTTCTTAGGTAGTGGTTTTCTAATTTTTTTATGTAAGTTTTTACTGCCTTAATCCAGGCACACGCATAAAAGGAGGGGGCTTAAGATATACATTATTATGTCTGTGTTGTATGGTAGTGCTGAATTTTTCTATTCATGATGCCGGGCCCCCCATGAGGGTGAAAATGGTACCATTTTTTATGTATGAGTGATTTTTTTCATTAAAAAATTACTTTATTTAGTTGTTTACTTTTCAATTCATATTTTCTTTTCGTAGCAGGATTAATCATGAATCAATAATAAGAAATAAAATATGAAAGCACATACCAAGGGAACATTTTGTCAACTTTTTCGTGCAATTGCAGTTCATAAAGCTACTTTGACAACGGAAATAAAATGATCAACCGTAATTTGAACAAAAGAAGTTGGGTTTGGAGAAACAATAAAGAAGGGCACATTATCATCTGCTGCCTGAGGGACCCCTTAGCGACAGCCTTGACCTTAACCTCATTTTCTGCAGCAGGCCACCGTATTAAAAAGACGGATGAAGTTAACATAATTCGTACTGATGTACTTGAAATATTCGACCAGTTAAAAAAAACCTATTCTTCGCCTGTTCATCACATTGTAATCCCCAACGCTTGAGAACTTATTATATTAGTTTGAACTTTCATTCTATCTTATATTTAAATATTTTATTGAAAAATCGTCACAATTAATGAGATGTTTGTGATTTTATCCTATAGTTAGCTTACTTTTCTTTTTCTTAAATCTCCAATTATTCTCGTGCCTCTTGGGAACAACTGATCGTCATAACTACATTTCAGCTGAAGGAAAAAATTTGTTGGTAAGTAAAGAGATGAGGTGAGTGAACGAACAGAGGAAAATGTCCCTATAAAAAATTGTGACACTATGCAGAGGCAGGGAGGTGTTGCAGATGAACCGTTAAGAATAAAGACGTGTTTAGAAAGATAAGTATGGTTTCAGACGAGACAATAAATTAGAGAGCCAGATAAGACTTATTTTAAATTACATTTACAAAGTCAAGGAATTCATCATATCTTGACAGTCATTTTGGGGATAATTAAAGAATTTTGATAAGCTTTCAGTCATCAATACCGTAATGATAAAAGTATATATTTGATTTTAAATGGTCATTAACCTTGCCCTCAGTTAGTTACATAACTGACCAGATTTATGATCATGTACGAGTAATCAATATTCAGCATTTTGGAGCAAATAATAATTTTAAACGATTAAATCCGACTCTACATATATTCCATGTGCAAATTAATTATATTAATGTGAACTTATGGCGGAAGAACGAAAGATAAATAGCACACATTCCCATTAACTAAGCATCCATGCATGTGCGAAGTATCATACTTGCGAGAAATGACGACAGAAACAGTTACAAGTGTAGGATTCAGGACTGAAAGAAGGAAAATGTACAAATACCATGTACCAAGGAAGTGAGCAATACTTAACGATTATATTAAGAAGTTATAACAGATTTACGAGTACTATAACAATTAAGTTGTTACATTACGTGGAGTACGTTTTAACACACCCAGTATCGGTTTTCTACATGTTTGTGAAA